GGCCAGACCAAAAAAATCTTCTTGTTTTAGACAGAAGACTCCTACATCTGGGGGATTTAATGCACCCACTGTCCGCTCAGTGCATTTCCTGTGTCCGGAGCTTCTCTGCCTGCCGGCTCTGGTCTCGTAAGTTTCCATCCCCTGCTGCCAACTTATAATAACAGAGGCAGCAGGCAGCAGGGTAGGAACGTCATAGCCCACGCCATACGTGGGCGCTGCTTTGCAAATTGAAACAAAGCTTGGAAGGTCTCATTGCAGGCCTTTCAGCCTTGACAGTGGTTGTGCCCAGACCACCAGGAGCCTGGAATTAAATACCCTCAGATCCAGTTCTCTTCCATTAATGTTATCAGCTTCATCAAGTACTTCCTCTTTGAGTGGTGTCTGCAGAGAAATAAATAAATCAAGTTCCTCTTAAGTGCTGTTCAGCCTGGATCCTGACTCAAAAGTAAAATCTGAGTTGGATTATCCAGAGCACTGTCACCCTCCTGCATTGTTCCGAAAGATCTGGGCAGGAACGGAGAGTGAAATCTCTCCAGGACATTACATCAGTTCCTCTTTTACCCTTGGCATGAAAGTTCTTCCTCTCATAGTCCTCCCAGACTTCCTAAGGCTTGCCCTGAGTGCACACCCACACACTGAGCCTGGAAGCCAGCACATCAAAGAAAGCCTGCAGGTAACCAGATTACCGACTAACGCCTGTGTCCGTTTTGAAATTTATAAGACGGGAAATGGATTCAGGAAATGGGATTTTTCGAAACATGGTTTTCATCATTCTTAAGTATTTTTAAACCTTAATAAGCTTTTAAGTAAAGAGAGACATTCAGTAAATGGCCTTTGGAAGAAAATATATGAAAGTTCAAAATGAAACTGTCTTGAATCATTGCTTACGGTGATCATAGTCTATGACAAATGATAAATTTGTCATAGTCTATGACAAAAGATAAATTCATTTTTATAGGCAGCAGAATTGAGATCCACATTAGCTATGAAAAGAAAACTCTCCTTCTCCCCAAAAGGTTGCAGACTGTTTTAGTCAGTACCCTGTAATCATCTGTGTGCATTTGGGACAACGTGAGAAAGTTAGTGCTTGTCATTCCAATGTGCATCCTTGGAAGGTTGATTAAGCACTTTTTAAAAAACTTTTTATAATGGAAAACGTCAAGTCTATGTAGAAGTAGAATCGTATCATGAACCACCACGTACCATCACCAGTTTTAATGATTAACTCACGGCCAATCTTCCTTCTCTGTATTCCATCTATTCTCTCCTTCACCAGCCCAGATTCTTTTAAATCAAATCCCAGATACATCATTTATCTCATCTGTAAATATGTCAATATAAGTCTGAAATATTAACCAAATCATCATAATCCTGGAACCTACTTGTGTTCACATTTTACCAGTTATCTTATAAATGTTTTTTACAGCTTGAATCTGAATTCAAACAAGGGTCTATATACATTGCAAATGGTTGATGCGTCTCTTAAGTATCTCTCAATGTGTAGGCTCCCATCCCTATCCCTCGAGAGAGTGTGTGTGTGTATGTGTGTGTATGGTTCATTCTTTGGTTTTTTTTTAAAAAAGAAGTAAAACGTAGTTATTATAACTTTTCCCCTATACATATTGTCTTTTCTTCCACTGGTTGCTATCAAGGTTTTGTCTTTATCTTTGGTTCTCAGCAGTTTAATTATGATCTGCATCAGTATGATTTTCATTGTATGTATCTTGCTTGAGCTTCTTGGGTCTTTAAGTTTGTTGTGACTACCCAATTTGTGAACAATCGGACCATTATTTCTCCCTCTCCCCCATTCTTTATATATTCTTTTTCTTGGACTCCAATTACATGTGTATTAGACCATTTGATAGGGTTCCAAGGTCACTGAGGATTTGTTTATTTGAATTTAATTTTTATTGATCTGTCTTCAAATTTACTAAACATTTTTTCTCTCATTTTTGATCTCCTATTAAGTCTATCCAGTCCAATCTTTCATTTCATAATTATATTTTTCATTTATAGAATCTTCATTCTGCTTTCTAATAATTTCTATTTCTCTTTTGACTCTGTCTATCTGTCATCACTCATTATGACCATCATTCCCTTCAAAGGCTTGAACTTATTATAGCTTCTATAAAGTCCTTTTTTGCTAATTCCAGCATCTCAGGGTCTGTTTCTGTTGACTGCCTTTCCTTTTTATTATGGGTCACATTTTTTTTTCCTCTCATATCTAGAAAACATTTATTAGACACTGAACGTGATAGACAACATATTGTAGAGACTCTGGATTATGTTTATTTCCTCTGAAGAGCGTTGACTTTTGTTCTATCAGGCAGTAAAGTTACTAGCCACTCACTTTGAATTCGTGAAGGCTTAGTTTTACATTTCATTAGGTCAGATCTGTTTCAGTTTTGTCTTCTTTCCTTAACCACATTCCTTTATCCTGACGCATAGATTTTTAATTCCAAAGATGTGACCGTTCTGGGGTAATGAACAGCCTAAGGTAGTCACAGAGCCTTCCAGCTTGATGAGACTCAAATTCTGAACTCTGTCTCTACTGCAGTGGCCAGCAGCTGAGGTTTCTGCTGATATCTTTTGATCATCCAGCTGTGGCTTTTCCTTGAACTTGTGCTGTTCAGGAGTCAGGCAGGAATTTGAGGGAACTTTTACCTGCCAATTTAGTCACTAA